AGGAAATGTTTGAAGTGATATATTTTAACAGCGATGTTTTTTACAGTTCAAAGAAATATGATTCTATGATTGTCAGATCAGCTTGTTTTATTAAATTTAATATGAATTATTTGAGGTTGTTAAGGAAAAAGCAAAAGGAAATGTTTGAAGTGATATATTTTAACAGCGATGTTTTTTACCGTTCAAAGAAATATGATTCTACGCTTGTCAGATCAGCTTGTTTTATTAAATGTAATATGTATTATATTTTCATGTATTTATTTGAGGTTGTTAAGGCAAAATCAAAAGGAAATGTTTGAAGTGATATATTTTAACAGCGATGTTTTTTAAAGTTCAAAGAAATATGATTCTATGATTGTCAGATCAACTTGTTTTGTTAAATTTAATATGTATTATTTGAGTTTGTTGAGGAAAAATCAAAAGGAAATGTTCGAAGTGATATATTTTAACTGCGATGTTTTTTACAGTTCAAAGAAATATGATTCTATGATTGTCAGATCAGCTTTTTTTTATTAAATGTAGTATGTATTATATTTTCATGTATTTATTTGAGGTTGTTAAGGCAAAATCAAAAGGAAATGTTTGAAGTGATATATTTTAACAGCGATGTTTTTTACAGTTCAAAGAAATATGATTCTATGATTGTCAGATCAGCTTGTTTTTATTAAAGTAAATATGTGTTATACTTCCATGTATTTATTTTGGATTATTAAATCAAGACAAAATCAAAAGGAAATGATCGAAGTGACATGATAATATTTTTCTATTTCAGAAAATAAATATAAATGTTTGTTTCTTGAGGTTACTAGTAAAAATATCGATGACCAACAATCAGTCCAAAATATGCATATATAATATAGATGTTTATTTTTGAATGTGTGTTTTAACACCGACCAAATACAAATGAAATTTGAAGCTGTTTAAAATGTAGAATTTCATTAAAACAATTTTTTATTTGTAGAAGTAGTCTTTTAAACATACATACTTATAATGGTTTATTTTGTTGTTTTATTATTCTTATTAGCACTTATTTGGCTTGAAGAATTCAATGTTAAAAACGAAGGACCCTTGCATCTTCCTGACACTGTCGTGCCAAAAAATTAAAAAAAAAAAAAAAAATAAGCACCTTTTGTCAAAAGCGGTAATCCATTCAGTGGCGGCCATGGTCCCTTTTTTTAGTCAAAAATCCAAAATCAACAGGGCATCGATTTAAATTTTGAGCGGGCTATGTTGACATGTCGGTGGGCGATCGCGGCTAGAGACGGGGTTGGCATAACGCCGTTGTCGACGGAAGGAGGAGCCGAGTGAGACTGGTGGGGCGTACTGACGGCTCGAGCCTCCTTGGTCAATAGCCCCCACCGCCGTCTCCTCCTTCCCCAGCATACCCCATACAGCATACGCATGAAACGGGGTCGAGATATGCGACATCATACCCGTGTAAACAAGATGTGGGAGCGCGGCCTTCCGCTTATTGGGTGACGGGTGACCCTGGCGTCTCCACGACAGCAGCGCAATAACAGTAAACAAAAAAATTTAAAACAATTCAATGTTATCTCATATTCAGTTGCAGGAAATACAAAAACCCCAGAATGAAAACTTTACACGCGAGAATAAAATTTATTTCCTGCTTTCAGATATTTCTTGTTATTTTTGAACATAGAAGAAAATAGTTATTCAGATATCGTGAGATGCGGTCGGGTGTGATGTAGGTTTCAGAAAAACATTTTCTTTATCGTGCCAACGTTTCGATCTTTATTGAGATCATCTTCAGGGCCTGGGATTTACAAACATTGTTTACATATAACAATTACATTTAGGATGTGGAAAAGTGAATTTATACAATGCAAAATATATTTTATATTCAAACAAAGTATTTCTACTCACTCAAAGTGTTTGTCTTCTGTGTAATTGTGCCATTCTTGCGTATCGTGTCGAGAGTGCCAGTATATATATAAACATAAAACAGCAAAATCTCACTGGCACTCTCAACACGACACGCAAGAATGGCACAATTACACAGAAGACAAACACTTTGAGTGAGTAGAAATACTTTGATTGAATATAAGAAATATATTTTGCATTGTATAAATTCCCTTTTCCACATCCTAGATGTATTTGTTAAATGTAAACAATGTTTGTAAATCCCAGGCCCTGAAGATGATCTCAAAAGATCGAAACGTTGGCACGATAAAGAAAATGTTTTTCTGAAACCAACAACACACCAGACCGCATCTCACGATTTCTAAATAAATTATTATTATTATTTTATTATTAAAGTCTTTATTACTAAAAGTAAGATATTACCAATTTAAACATGTACTTATTTACATTCTTAAGGTTATAACCTAAAATTATCTACGGTTCTCAGCGTAAAATAAATAAGACCGAAACAGATATTATTCAAAATTGAAAACAATTATGAATATTTCAATTAATTATTCTTTTTATCTAACGTCTTGGTTGGGATGAAAAAGATAGTGTCACGAGCACGAATCGAACGCTTAGATTAAAAAACAATAATTGAAGTAATTAATATGGTCAATTATGACCACTAAATATATATGATTATGATATCGTTTTATGGGAAAAGAGGTGAGACACATATTCAGAAAAAAATATTTAATTCATCCATAAAATGTAGGTATATATGTATATCGGTATATATTTGTTATTGTAATTAGTAAATATGTTCTTACCTGAGCAAATCTAGAAGAAAAGCAGTGTAACCGGTTTTACAAAGTATATTATTTTCTAAATCCTTTTTCTTCTATATTTATCTTTGTTGTTGCGCAAACATATTGTGTGTAGGGTTTTAATTTCTATAAAAATAAATGAACCTAGTTTTTGTGCTGGAATTAAAATTCTACACGCATTATTTTCTAAATGTTCAAGACAATTGTTAGAACTTTATACAGTTCTTTTACAGTTTTACGGTTCAAAGGAATGTGGTTTGTCGGGCAGCTTTTTGATTGTGTAAGTTATTTTATTAAAACACTTTTATAACTATAAGAATATGTAATATCAGAAAGAAATAGGGGTAGTTACTTGATATCAGTTTTTATTTAAACAAAAATAATAGGGGCACCGGTGGCCGCAACGGTTTAGGCGTTGACACGGCGCTCATCCCTGTATGGTAAAGGTGCCGGGTTCGAATGCAGGGCCGACATACTTACAAATGGATTTTTAGTCGGTTTTGTAATTGGTAGTGCTTCCTGAGGTTACTCGAATGTCCAAATATCGTGCTAACTTGTTCTACGTAGGAAATATTTACCAAAATTTTGAAGAGAATTTTTAAAACCTTATTCAAAATTCTTTCAACTCAAAAGGAATAATGACTATCGGACAGCTTTCTGGTTGTAAAGTTATGTTTTAAACAATTTAATACGTATGAGTATATGAAATATCATAAAGAAACATGGAAGTATATGATATCAGTTTATATTTAAACAAAAATAATAATGTCAAATTTATAATTGGTAGTTTTTTCTGGGTTACTCGTACACGAATGTCCAAATGTCGTGTTAACCTGTTCTATAGAGCACACATTTTTCTAAATTTTCAAACTCTAATGCAAGAAGTCTTCATACGAAAGAAATAACATCTATCAGATTTTTTATTTTGTAAGTTATTTTATTAAACGATTCAATAAGTTTTTGCACATTACAAATAATTACTAGTTACGTTATGACATGTCATATTTAAAAAATAATGATGTAGTAGGTGTTTCTGTGTTTCCTTGCACACAATGTACTCCCTTTTTATTGTGTTAATTATTATATTAAACAATTTAATGTCAAGGTCTATTTTGAAAAAGAAACATTAGGAGTTATATAACAATGCTGTATATTTCTTAAAATAAATAAATATATTAGGGTTTGCAACCGTAATAATTATTTAACCTGAATTTTAAATATAATTTTATGTAGTTAATTGATGATTATTACAGTTCAAAGAAATATGATCTATGATTGTCAGATCAGCTTGTTTTATTAAATTTAATACGTATTATATTTTCATGTATTTATTTGAGGTTGTTAAGGCAAAATCAAAAGGAAATGTTTGAAGTGATATATTTTAACAGCGATGTTTTTTAAAGTTCAAAGAAATATGATTCTATGATTGTCAGATCAACTTGTTTTGTTAAATTTA